AGTGCAAAATTTTCAAAAAGTAACCAAGTAATAGGAAACGACTTAAAAACTACTACAATTTCTTGTGCGACATCGACTTTTAAGTAATTAACCATATTGCCGCTAGAGGGAATTTGCGTCATTGTGTAATTAGAGGGACTATAATTCAAAAACGACTCATTGGCTAGTTGAGACCAGCTGCACGCTCAGGGTGTGGTTAGCTGCCGAGATTTCAGAGAACAACATTGACTTAACTGTGTTTTTTGTTATTATAATCATAAACTATATTTTGTTATATCCTATAATAATTAGTTGTATAGGTTTATCTAATGTGTAAAAGAATGATTGGTCTCAAAAAGTAAATTAATATCACTATTACTTACAAGCTCCTCTGTTTAAGATAATTTTGAGAAGACTTATTTTTTGTCCTTTAAGCATTTTTATACTGTATAGTTTCACCAGGAAAGGAAGACTTGATAAAAATATTTCATTGTTATTAATTTTTGAAGTTTTGTAATAAAACATTACTATTGCGTTATAACTTTTAATTATATTATTATCATTCGTAGGTGAAAGTACTTTCTACCGTTAAATCAATATAACTCTTGATAAATGTACATTTTATGCTTAATGCTAGTATTAGAAACTGAAATGTGTTCCAAAGTACATTGCTGAATTCATAGAAGTAGAAATTAAGCACCGATCTAAGAATAAATTTTTATATATTTTAGCCTTAAAGGCTAATGTTCTGACTTTACGTCACTGTTCTTCTGGTATTCTTAAAGAATAAACATTTTAATAAGAACAACGACGCAACTGTAGGTACCTGCCAAAATACTAAATAAACAGCAAGCAAAATATCAATTTAGAACAGTGCAACTTTTGCACAAATAAAGCCTATATCCTTATTAATATTTTTTTTGCAAAAAACACTATAATTAAAAAACCAATCGAAAAAAATATCAGTAAAAGAGGAAAAAAAATATTTCAAAAGCGTATTTCTCAAAAATGAAATTTTTACACTAGTGTCATTGTCGTTCTAAAGGTGCAAACTTTCCTTATCTGTAATTTTCACCAATAATTAGTGTTACACAAACCATTTATTTACCTCAGTGCTGTTTCCTACAAAATAATACTGTAGCCCAACCAGGCCTTATCATATGCATATATATTATATATTTAGAAATATACGTGCAAGTATAGGCTACGCTAGTGAAGAAAGCAGTCACTAAGTACAAGACCGAGACAATAAAACATGGGATTGTAATCGATTTGTTTTTAGGATTTTTTCATTTTTCAACGAAAAGAATTGTTCCGTAGCTCGATTTTGTTTCGTGTTTGTTATTGTTTGATCTTTATAATAATAACAACAAGTAATTAGTGAAGTATTTATGATTATTAGGTAGTAAAAACATCATTATATCATCAGTTAAAAGGTAACTCGCTGAGTCCCATTCTGATCTAAAAGGAGTACTTTTCTATTACTTTTTCAGTGGGAACAAATAACATCTACGACAAAAAGAAATAAGTTAGTGTCCTTCCTTATAAAACTACCATTTACAAATAAAACAGAAACTCTTAATTATCTCTGTTAGTCGATTAGGCTTTCAATAAAATAAAAAATTCAATAGTAAAATTTTTGCTTTCAAACGCAATTTCAAGAGCAACCGTATCTTGCAAAATGGCGTCAATAAAGTTTCGGCATCAGAGCACTATTCTATCCAACGTTAGTACGAAAAAAGTAACTTACCTAACCGTAATAATAAAAAGACAACTTTATGAGTAAAAACCGAAGCCTAAAACTGGCATCGAAGGGGCGGTGTTCCCAGGAGATAATAAATCTGGCGATGGCAATATTTTTTGGGCAGAAAGTGACATTAACGGCTCTATATCTCCGAGAGTCGGTACGTGAGATATAGAAATGGAAAAAGAAACATGGAGAAATGATGTTCTTCGATATATACGTTTTTGATACTAAAGCCATATCCCATGTATTCTCATAGCTTATAAGCTTTATAGTGCCGCGAAAAAACAAAGAAGATGCTGATTACGTGATTTTAATAGGAATAAATCCAGAAGTTTTTCTATTGAAGCTTTTCCAATTTTTGAATATTAAAATTTTGAATATTTGAATATAAAAAATTCTTATGATTACCAATCCAGTCTACCAGGTGTAAGAGTCAATTCATCGGTGATGGTAGATAGAATTGGCTTCTCGTAATATTGATACCAAAAGTTTCCAAAGATACTTAATTTAATTTGCGTTTCTCGCACGGATGAACCATTGATTGTTGTTCATTGAAAATCTTTGAGTCAAATGCAAATGATGCTTTTCGGGGACACTTAAGGTCCAGTTGACCTTTAAGATCATAAAAATCGTAAATTCTACAACAAAATTAACACTGAGAGGGTAAACCAAGTCCACGGTCTGCCATGCTGGTCCAATGGGTTTGGGGAATTCACATGTTTTGCACGGGTCTCATAAACAGTCTTGGACGTGCACCCCTAAACGAGAGGTGTTATACTGAACTTTAAATATACCTATAACCCCCGTAACTAAAGGGACTCTTGATTAGAAGCATTTGTTCTAACACTGGGTTCTATGTAAATTTTGTAATAAAAAATGTAAAAATCTACGGCGGTTTTAGACTGCGTGTATAAAACAGACTTTATTAGGTTACATTTGATCACGGTTTGTTAGGCCTACACCACGTCTAGAGAGGCTTTAGCATTAGTTAGTGGTCGCTATTCGTTAAATAACTATACTTCAATAAGCAAGTTCTTTATAATACCTTAAACGGAATGAGATGGTATTTTGTACCATTATTTGCCATCAGCCGTTGTATAACGTGGATGTTGAAGGTAGAATATGCTTTAATCGCCTTGGATGGAAGGTTGTCATCACAGTTGAGCTGCAATCTAATCATCATCAACATCCCGTAATTTGTGGCGTCAAACATGCTACACTTCAATGATGTCGGGTACCCATCACGATACAGTGTCCCCCGCAACCACTTTTTTATTCGGTTGTCGTTTTACTCCCTCTGTCATCATCAGTTCCATTTTAGTTTCGTTATCTGATCTCTTATAACTTAGAGCTCCGTAATTTAATACAAAGACGCTACTGCCCTTGTCCTAGGTTTATCTCTTAGTCACTTACTATGTCATGAAATAGTCATATTTGCGCCGGAAATCAGAAAACCTTCTTTATAACATAATCTAAATAAAATACAAAGTTGCAGAGTACCTCACGTTAATTGCGAAGAACCTGTATGTCGAAAGTTGACAACCCTTGGAAAATGTGTAAAGTCCCAAAGCCATCAACTGTAGTCTAAACCCTTCCTTAGAGGGCACCCGTGGCTAGCATTGAGACACAAAAAAGGTTGGTAACTATGTTGATGATGGATGTAATATAATGGATGTTTTGCACAAAGACACCCCTTACACGAAGCTAAAAAAATCAGATGATCATGTGTTCAGACCTTGAGTTAAAAATACAAATATCATAAAAATACTATTTCTTGCATACTGTGAGGCCATCATCGCAAAAGTTCTTCACATTTTATACAAAATTTCGTTACATCTACTTACAGTGTGTAACATAAAGTGACGGCGTGCCCTTAATCTCGCTAATAACATCCACATAACTGCTGTAGAATGTTTCCAGCCACGGCTTGTGAATAAATTCAGCCACTGCGGTCACAACTTAATGAGGGCCTGATTACACATCTCTACAAATGGTAATTTTGCTGCTTGCTACCAGATTATATGGGATTAGATGAGCTGGCTTCTCTAGGATTTGCATATACGTACGAAATTCATGGAAGCTTGCTGTATATTAGAGTCAACGATACAAAATGGCTAACAGGCTCCGACTAGATGAAATGATTGAATAATAATAATAATAACACTAACGCACATACTCAACATAGCCCCGCACTAGGGAAACCCTGTGTTGCGAGTACCATGGACACATAGACAACCACTAATTACACCCAAACTCACGAGAGAAATAAATGTAGGCCATACGAATATTTCTCCCGGCCTGGGAATGGAACCTGGGACCTCTGCGTGGCAGTGGCATGGTAACCGTTCGGCCACGGAGGTAGTTCAGCGAATGCAGTGGCAAATGTATGAAAAGGTTCAAGGACGGCTGACATAAAGACTGATATAGAAAGAGAAGAAACATTATACGTGTACTAATATGATTTATTAAAACACCGCTTGGTAAATGACACGAATTCCGTAGCAACTTATAATGTACATAAAACTATATCCTACTGTCCAAACATCAATGAGCTAACGGACTCATTTGCTCCTTAGATAAAGCTTTTTCAATCTGCTTCTACATATCGAGTTCTCAGGTTTTCGCGATTGTTACACATAGGAAATGAAACTATTTTTCCGGATTTAAATCGCGTATATTTGTTTTTTCAAACAAACCTTAAAAAAATAAGGTATTTAATTAATATCTATTGTAACTATAGTGAAAAAATAGGGTGGTTTGCATCAATATTAGACATAACTGGTTGAAGACTGTACCACCTCAGGCAACCGTGACCATGGGACCTGTAAAGGGCCCGACACGTCGGTTTGTTTAAAAATACAAATATACGCGATTTAAATCCGGTAAAATAGTTTCATTTCCTATCTGCTTCTACATATTGTTGGTTACGCACTGTTTTATTTTTGCTGAAAAAAGTTCAGAACTAAGTCACTAAACTTAGTCGATATCAATAATCTTTGTCATAAATAGTTATCAGTGGTTAGAAGTTTACTGTTTATTATAATGTTATTTATGATAAACAGTAAAACAATGTATTCTATTAAATCTTACTTACTCTTAAAATAGCATAACATCTTTACCAGAAAATAAAGAATTTATGGCATCACAGATTTAAAATACAATACAAGTACCAAATTATAAACTAAACTTACGCTGATCTTAAATTAGATTTATTTTTTATTCAGTGATTTCTGCCATTTCCGAAAATAGATTGGGCGAATTTCCCAAAATATTGAACGGGGGGATAAACTGCTGTCTGTTGTGTTCCAGGTTTGAAGAAAACTGGCCTTTCAATATCTCTGGCTTGCACTAACCTATTTTCTGGGGCAGCTTGGTATTTATTTACTTGAGGTTGAGGTGGTTGGTTATTTTGCCCAATTTGATTCAAAGGCTGCTGATATTGATGTTGTTGATTTTGATATTGAGACAGCGTATTCTGGTATGGCATTTGTAAATATTGAGGTTGTTGTTGATTTTGCGGTTGCGGAACTTCAATTGAGGGTACTGGAGGGAATACAGTTTGGTATGCTTCCAATCGGGATTGCGGTAAATCGTATATGAGGTGTTGTTGATCGGAGATATATGGTTGCTGGTATTGAGGCGGAGTTGGTTGATATTGAATGTGACGTAGTTGATTTAGCGGTTGTGGCAATTGATTTTGGGTTTGTTGTGGCGGTGGAACTGGTGTCTGTTGCGCAGGGTTGTTCGCAGGTTCGGATGCACCTTGGGAGAAACTTGCGTAACTTACTGCTCCTTGTTGTTGAATGTTGTTATTCTGAGAAAAGAAAATCGACTGTGAATAATTGATTAATGGATGAACAAATGTCAATGCTTAAATATGTTGATTAAATAAAATCACGATGAACATTTGCTCAAAATAAATAGGAAAAAAAAGAAGAAATTTTAATTATATTGTATACATAAGTACCAGCGCAATTGAAGGAGCAGTCACTGATTTTTGTACGATGTTAGGTGGCGGAGAATTCTTGAATTCCCTTAGAGTAGGTGCTTGCTGATTCTCACTTTGTTGAGAATAAATTATGCCTGGTATTATTTGAAGATATCTGTTCAATTCTGGCTCAAAGTATGTCACTGGTTGTTGTAGCGTTGCAGTGTACTGGTATTGTGGTTGAACATGGTATATTTGTGGCTGAGGATACACTGGAGGTGCGGATGGTGCCTGGTGCATTACAGGTTGTATTGGATTAGGGAAAAATCTGAACGTTGTTTGTTTAGGATTTTGAACTTTGGTCAGTGGAAGTTGTGGAGTATACTGTATAGGTTGTTGGTATGACATTTTCGCTGAGTAAGCGAGATGGGAAGGCACTGGTGCAGAAATCTCGTACGTAGTTGGTGATGGGATCTGAAAGTTTTAGACGCATTTTAGAAATTTTATGGACGTAAAATCACAGGTTATTTCACGCTTGGTGTTCTTTATTTTTAATTTTACAGACGACTAGCGCCAGACAGTGTATTTAATACATAAAATTTTTAAGTTTCTTTTGGTATTTATTCGTCCGTAAAGTGGTATTTGTTAAAGTACTACAATGTTTGTGGTTAGAAGATAAGATCGCTTTAAAATCTTTGAAAATTGCAATTTGATTTTATAATGTTTTAAATGTCAATATCCTCTTCAGCCTAACTGGAGTAGACTATAAATTTGGTTACCTTGGTCTGATAGATGGAGACAGGGGAATAAAGGTGCCTCGCGATGGCAGCCTGGTATGAAGGTCCCTGACTTGTTAACACGTCGGAGATCTTCGCAATCTGTGGCAGTGGAGTCGAGTAGGTTTCCTAGAACAACATTTTAAATTAGTATAACTAGAAAAGTTATTTGTTTCCACAAATTATAACAAAATCAAATTCAATCAATCCATCCGTCCTTAGATATACTCAAAGGCTTTGTATTTCAGTTGAATTTGGAAAAACTACAGACCAATCCTTACAAACTTCTTAATTTTTTTATAATAAAAGCATAAAAGCCTTTCTTTTCTTCATTTTATTTTATTACTTTTCTCGATTTGATCTGAAAACGTCCTTCTTGACCGCCTTCTTCTGCGTTTTTTATGTATTTAAAAGGGTACAATTTTCTTACTTAAACATATGCCTGTAAACTTGACACTACATGTCTCTTGCTCTACTTTCAACCATCAGCTCAATTTGTCACATAATCGCACATTATAATATATTTTTCTGAAGAATGTCATTGCATTCACTTTTCTCTCGTCCTTCTCTTGCCATTTGTGCCTTTGTGCCATTGTCATTTGTGCCTTCTCAGTTGGGCTAGCACGACAAAGCGCGTCCTGCGCGAGAGCCATATAAAGCGCGAGATATTGGTATCTCCTTGATTTCGCTCTCGTGGAATTCGCACCCTGTCATAGTAGCCCTACTGATATGAACTAACTTCACATTGATCAATCTGTTGCTCTGTTCACTGCGTTTCCCATTTCTCATTTCATCACAATCGACAATCGCGCAGAGCCTCGAGCAATCCAAGTGATGAATGAGTACGACAATGTATTACTTATCAAACGTATTATTGTGAAGTAGTTTAAAAGACTTCGTGTAAGAAATCTAACTCTTGTTTAAGCAGTACTTGGGAATGCGTTGTTGTGTGGTTTTTTTTTTGTAGTGTTTTTTACTAGTGGCGGGCAGTAAGACAAATTCAAATAATAGGTATTTATTTCATAGATTGATTAAACTCTACTACTTATTCTACTATATATTTATAAGTTTGAAAGTATTCGTATTTTCTAATCGCATACACTGCAGAGCCGAGCCGTTCCGATAACTTAGTTATTTGTGGACCCAATTGCAATTTAGCACCTAAAGTTATACCTAAAATACTGCCTGGGAAACCCAGGGGCCGGCAGCTACGTTGCCCAACGTATTATTAAAGGGGGAACGCTGCCTACTATAATACTTTATCAATTAAATATGAAATAATAACAATATATATAAATTACAAAATGTATGTTAATGTATATGTCTGAAAATAACCGTAACCGTTTTTTTTCTAGTTGAGGAGCAGATTATTAACTAGAAACCAATCTATAACTTTTTGAAATACAATTGCATAGCACAATATTAACGACACTGTTAAATACTCGATTTTGCCACAGAATTTATTCCACCTATCTTTAAATACCATTATCTGATACTACTCTTCAAGTCATGTACTTTAAGTTTATTTATTAACGTGTTGAGATAAAAATATACTATTATTATTACGAAGTTTAAATTATAGAATTGTGATAACTTGAGACTGGCCTGAAGACACCAGCCTGCCGGTGCCGTATAGAAAATGTGGAAGTAATTGACACGGGCAAAGTGTGAACAAACACAGTATATGTATTGTTAATAGTACATAAACTTACAAAATAGGAGCTTGAATAACAGGAAGAGGTGTCAAAGAAGTTACAAAATCAGTGCAGAAAAGCGTACAAAAATTTCATTTATTATCTATAACTATAGTTGCGTCCGTGAACGGTTACCATGCAGGGGGTCGATTCAGAACCGTACGATAACTGAGTTGTCGACCGATTTCTTCTCATTTTTATTCAGAACACCCGAATGTAACGTCAAACTGTCGTATTCGAAACCAAATAGAAGTGATGTCACACCCGTACTTCTCGACTCGATTAATCGAACTTCTCGACCGGCAAAGGCTACTAACGTTATTCGGAACGCAGTTATCGAACGAAAGTTACCAAACGTCCTATTGTTTACAAAGCAAGAATGTAATATAGAAATCTCTTATTATTTAAAACTAAACTCTGGATTTTGTTCAATTTTATTAATTTATTTTAATACAAGACTAATTGCATTCCTACATTTTAGGCCATTGACTTACAATTATATGGACGTCGGGTCCGCGCTAAAAAGTGTCCGCACTTGCAAGGCGCTAAAATCGAATACAGAGCGCCAAACTCCGCTTTAGTCTTCATTTGTTCGACTGACAGCGCGATACTGCGATGACATTACAATTTAAATTTCGAATAGGTTGACTTGGGACATTTTTTTCGTGGTTTTTGTATTAGACCCGTCGTCCATTTATTTGTAAGTCAATGTTTTAGGCCTTTAAAGTCTAAAAAATGTATGTAAGAAGATTTTAAGTTTTCTTATAATCTATTTCACCGACCAACTCCGTAAACGCTGTTGCATAACGATATCGTATCCGAATCCGAATCCGAAGCGAATGTTCTGAATAGCTCGGAAAGCGCCCTTCGATTCAAGAACGATGTCCAATCGAACGATTCAGTTAAAATATCGAAGAGTTCTGAATCGGGGTCCTGGTCTGTCTCGCAGAGGGCGATTCTCGGGCAGGGAGAAATATTTTTATAATCTTCGTTTGTTTCTCTCGTGAGTTTAGGTGTAATTTGTGCTTGTCTACGTGTGTGTGTTCATGGCACCCACAATACAGAGTTTCCCTATTTCCCATTTATTTATTACAGTGTTACTAAAATCAATGTTTATACTTTAATCAACTTCTCCAGATGGAGGTCCAATTTGAAAGGACAAAGAAGGGGCTGGCAGTGCGCAGAGGGGGAAGGACCTCGGGTCTCAGATAAGACGATTATAGTCATAATACCCCAGGCTCTGCGAATGTGTACCGTCCACCGGGTAAACCAATTTTCTTTAGTAAAAATTCAGTTGAGACATGAGGGTTTCGTGAGTTAAATAATGTTGTTAGTGGAATATTGCATTACGATGGTTGTTCAGTGGGAGAGTGTCCGACAGTTCGAAACCCTGCATGTAACTATGACTATTTTTGTGAAAAAGAAAAGGTCGTGATGAATCCTATATATCGAAGAACGTTCTCTTGAAACCCTCAACACTTATTAGGCCAGTTTTGCAGATTGTGGCATAAATCTAATAAAAAATAATAGTAGTTAGCCTGTGAAAAGTCCTACCTCTGGATACATTCAGAAGGCTTGGGCTTGGGTTGTAATTCCCACTCGAGCCCGATACGGATTGGAAACTTCCAAACACATAATTACATTACTTTGCAGATGTGTTCAGGGTTGCTTACGATGTTTTTCGTCAACGAAAAGCTTATAGTTAAATTTGTAAATAAACTCAGCTGTGTAAGGACACCGAATTCAAACCCACGATCCTATGCTTGAGAAGTGTAGGTAACACCGTTAGGCTACCACGGCTACATGTAACGGGTTGGTTAAAAATCTCTGTGGTTTTTGTCACTAGCTTTCAAACAAAAAAACAACTTTTTCTTTTCAAGTTTTATATTCTTTATAGCCACCGAGCCACCGGCCACCGAGATTATTAAAATGGCACCCTATATTAATAAAGTCAAAGTCAAATACAGAAGAAGAAGAAGCATGAAACTCTAGGGATTGCTCGTTTCAAATAAATTTAAATGTTTACATTTTGAATCATGTTTGTGTGGAATCTAGACTTACGTTGTCTTTTCATACATCTTTATCTAACACGTAGTCTAAAATTTTGTAATATGACTTTTCAATTAAAATACCTTTAATGTAAGTTTTAAACTTAGGAAATGATAAATTTAATATATGCTCCAGAATCTTATTGTAAAAACGTATACAGTTTCTCATAAAAGAATCGTTTACCTTATTTAACTGAAAACATGGTACCACGAGTTTCGACTTAGTTCTAAAGTTAATATTATATATCTTCTTTCTTAACGAAATTATGTATATTTTACGAGCGTACAAAAAATTTGAGTAAAAGAATCCAAAATACTAAAGTGAACAATAACCAAAAAAGAAGAATCGTTATAAAAGCACAATGCGCAACAAGGTAGCGATTGCGGCAAATGTATTTCTACTTAGATAAAGAGAAGAAAAATGCTGCTTTTCCGCAATATGCAAAAAACGTGGCCCGGAGGGGGAGTGTGGGAGCTGAAGGGTGGCTGACACTTACTAACAGCGTTTATAAAACAAAATTATTGCAATTAAAAAAATGCTAACAATATGATGCATGTTGTTGGGTTGTTTAAAGATGGACTGCATGTCTACATCAATGCGTATCCGCAACCTGCAATCGATGTGAATAATAGATTTAGTAACAGTAGAGCTCATTGCCAAGCAGTAATCTTAGCATTACTGCGTTCGCTCCCTCGGTTTTGACAAGTAAGGGTGCTGGTTAAATTACAGGCACACGGGACTTGTCAACTTATGTCTCAGGGTGACGGGCGCAGTGGCAATTGTTATTGACAGGCGTGGAGCTTATCATCAGGCGCACGAGTTGTACGTGCCGTCACTTGATATTATAAAAAAACCCTACATTAGAAAATGTATTAAATCGCTAACTCACATTGAGCTAGCATGGCGAAATCTATACCCTCTCTCTTTCCTTAGAAGAGACCCGTGCCCGCCAGTTAGAGAGAATAAAAAATAAAATACACGCGTACTCGTGGCTGACGTACGGCGTTATTTTGTGGGGAAACAGCAAGGAAGGAAGAAGGAGAAGGAAGGAAGCTATGACATAAACTCAGGGCTCATTTACGAATGCCATCAAGCACTCATGGAGGTATGTATACAAAACCACGTAACTCTTCAGTGGATTAAAGGACACAGCGGCTCACGTGGCAATGATGCAGCAGATGAACTAACCAGGAAAGGGTCGGAGACGGACGCTGTAGGACCAGAACCGATAGTGTCCCTCCCCTCCCAATGGTCCAGAACAACTATACACAAAGGTACAAAATCTTCACATAATAATACATGGACCACCCTTACGGTTTGTAGACAGGCGAGGGAAGCACTCCCAACGCTCAATGCCAGTCTATCTCGAATACTAATTAAACTTAA